GGATTGAGCTCAGTGGTTTTGCTGCCGTCTGCGCAAGTGCAAGGACCTGAGTTCAATCCCCGGTACCAAAAAAAAAAAAAGGAGAGATTACATAAAGCATATAGGAAGTGTGTGTGGGGTGGGTTTTTTTGTATTGTTTTGTTTTGGTTTTGGTACCGGGGATCAAACTCGGGTCCTTCCACTTGCAAGGCAGGCGGTGTAACCACTGAACTAAATCCCTGGCCCTGGAAGTGTGGGTTTAATGCGAATACTGTGCAACTTTATATAAGGGACTTGAGCATCTGGATTTTGGTTTTTCAAGGAGGTTCCAGCAAATACCGAGATGATGGTACTGACTTGTCTCATATCTTCCTTTGGGTTCCCCAGAGGCAGAGACCTTGAGGAAGTGACTTAGAGGCAAATGGTTGGCCTGGGAGGAAAGAGCAGTAGAAAAACTGAGAATGAAAACACATAGAAGGTTGTAACTCTCCACGATGTCCATCCCTGATATTTATCCTATCATAGTGGTGCTACTGCTCCTCCCATCAGAGGCAGAGTCTGTGTCTCCACTCTCTCAAGTGTGGACAGGTTTCATGGCCACCCTGACCAATGGAGTAAAGGAAGTAGATCTGTCAATTAGTGAAGGCTGGGTCATAAAAGGGTTTGCACCTGGCTCCTCTCTGACTCTGAAGCTCTCAGGATTCTCTGCATTTTCTATTTGTGCACATGTGCTAGGGCTGTGCACAGGCCCAGCTCGGGGTTTGGTTTTGTTTTTTTTTTCCTTATTTTCCACCTTGGGATTCTTATCCTTGGAGCCCACCTACCACCCTGGAGGCCACAGAGGCCACATGAGGGCCCGTGAGTGAGTGTCCCAGGTGACAGCCCCAGCTAGGCCCTCAGTGACAGCCAGCATTAGCCAGTAACCAAGCAGGACTGAAGGGCCCAACTAACAACTCCATCCCTGCCTTGGAGGCTGAAGTCACAGACACCAGGGAGCAGAGGCAATATGGTCCCCTCATGTCCTTCCTGAATTCCTCATCCCAGAGACGGGAGCAGTGTGTGAAGCCCTTGAGATATGGGCAATCTGTGAAGCAGGATTAAATCATTGATACCCTGGGGAGGGAAGAAGTCACCTGAGAGCAGGGGACAGCTGGGAACATGTGAGGCTCTGTCCTGCTGGTGATGGTGTGGGTTTTGAATCTCAGTGTGTTCCCCAGCAAGAGATCTGGAGACCCACCACTTCTACCCTTGGTGTCAAGGGCAGCTCCTGGGAGCAGTAACCACTTTGCTGGCCTTCCACACCTATCAGGTGGGGTGAGGCTGCTTGGCACGGCATGTGATGAGGCTGTCCTGGGGCTCCCCAGCCCTGGTGTATGGAGACTGTCCCAAGATGCTGCAAGACCCAAGAGAGACAGAAGACAGACCCAGGACTGCAGAGAGCATCATTTATAGGGGACTCGCTGACACAGGCACAGCTCTGCATGGCCGCAAACTCAGTGAGAGGGGATATTTTGGGGTCATCCTCACTGCAATGTACCTGATATTTGTTTTTGTTTTTTGAGTTTGAGATAAGGTCTCATTATGTAGTCCAGGCTGGTTTTGAACTGACTGTGTAGTCCAGGCTGACCTTGAACTCATGGCAATCTTCCTGCCTCAACCAACTGAGCGCTGGGATGACAGGTATGTGCTACCATGCCTGGCTTCTTTGATATTAATTTAAAATAACCCAGGTGAGGTGGTGCACGCTGTAATCCCAGCACGCAGGAGGCTGAGGCAGGAGGATCTCAGAGAGTTCAAGGCCAGCCTGGCCTACATAGTGAGTTCAGGGCCAGCCTGAACTATAAGGGTTGAACCTGCCTCAAAAAAACAAACAAACAAAAAAAATTAATATCAAAGAATCAGGCACATCCCTGGTGTCAGGGTCCCTGTGTAAAACTCCACATAACATTCTTTTTTTTTTTGTACCAGGGATCTAACTCATGTCCTTGCGCTTGCACAGCAGGTGGCATAACCACTGAGCTAAATCCTCGGCCCATATGCTTTTTAATATAAGCATCTCAGGAACACACATTGTTGTGAACTTATTTTAATCATTGTATTAGTTTCTTAGAGTTACTGTGGCACATTGCCACATTTAGTGGCTTCAAACAACACAAATGAGCCTGGCATGGTGGCACATGCCTGTAAACTTAGCACTCTGGGAGGATCACAAATTCAAGCCCAGATATTTTGAAATTTAGTGACTTAGCAAGACCCTGTCTCAAGATAAGAAATAATAAAAGGGCTGAGGATGTACCTTAGTGCAAAGGCCCTAGGTTCAATCCCCAGTCCTGCAAATAATTAAAAAATGAATCTAGAAATGTACTCTGTCACAGTCCTGGAAGCCAGGAGTCTGAAATGAAGGCATTGGCAGGGCCATACTTCCTCAGAAAGCCTAGGGAAGAATCCTTCTGGTAACGTCCAATTTCCTTCTAACGTCTTGATGTGACCAGAGCCACCTTGAGTCCTAACCCTATGATCACCCAGAGTAACTTTTGTCTCGAAAGCGCAAGGACTGGATTTTGATCCCCGGTACCAAAAAAAAAAATATTCTCAAAAAAAACACATGCAAGCCAGGTATGGTGAATCATGCCTGTAATCCCAGCACTCTAGTGGCTGAACCAGGAGGATTCTAAATTTAAACCTGGATAACTAGGGCTGGGGATGTAGTTCAATGGTGCCACGCCTGCCTGGCAAGCACACGGTCCTGAGTTTGATTCCCAGTACTAGAAAAAACAAAACCCTCAAATCTGGATAACTTAGTGAGACTCCATCTCAAAAAAATAAAAAATAAAAAGGGCTGAGCATGTAGCTCAGCCCTCCCTGGGTTCAATCCCCAGTGCTGCCCACAGCAAAACAAAACAGAAAACTCTTTAATTCCATGAAGATCCTATTTCCAATGAAGGTCACCTTCATAGATACCAGGGCCCTCCTCAAGGAGGAAGATACCAGGAGTGCCGGGGATCTATTGCACTCTGCTTGCAATAGATCGTGACTCTCTCTCTCTCTCTCTTTTTGGGTCTCAGTTTTTCATAATCTGGACCATGATTCATTTAACCCATCCCCTGCTGATAAAGCTCAGCCTGTTCTTACCGAGGCCCTAGTCTTACCATCTGAGGCAGAGTATAAACATTTAGCCGGGAGAGGTCCCACGGGTGAGCAGGAGACCGGCAGGTTGTCCTTCTGAGGGAAGAGGGTGGGATAAGCGACATTCCACACTGAAAACCTCCCTTTCCCCTTCCCCCTGGCTCAGACCCTCAGCAGCTGGACAGGCACTGGGTCAGTATCACATTCTTGGAGCTTGTTCTGTGACTTCCCTGGCTGACAGACCTCAGAGCCCACTGTAATTACAGAGTTGGTCTCCTGTGGGGACCTGACCACAGAGGAATCTTCCTCTCCACATTTCCTCATACAGAAAGAGTTCTATTTAGGGGTAATTTAAATATATTTCGATTGTTTTCTCGTTACAGGAAGGAAATGCCAAAAGACAATAAGGATCGCCCACATGTTCAGCCTTGAGGAAGCCACAGTTGATCTTTAGTTATTTATCCTGATGATCTTCCTCAAGGCTGGGCTTCCGCAGGCAGAGCTGGACTGGAGTCTCAGCCTGTCTGCTCCATGCTGTGTGATCTTGGGCAAGTTTCTCAATCTCTCTGAGCTTCTGTTTCTTCACCTGTAAATAGGGTAATCTCAGTATCCACTTCAGCAGATAACAGGACAGTGCAAATGCCCAGAGAGTAATAAATGTTGGAGGTTTTGGTTTTGCTGTGTTTGGGTTTTGATTTTTTTTTTTTTTTTTTTTTGGTACCGAGGATTGAACTCGGGTCCTTAGCTTGCGAGGCAGGCGGTGGAACCACTGAGCTAAATCCCCAGGCTGGGTTTTGGTTTTTTGAGAGAAAATCTCACTATGTACTTCAGACTGGCCTTGAATTCAGGATCCTCCTGGCTCAGCCTCTCAAGTGCTGGGAAGACAGGTGTGTGTGCACCACCATGCCCAGCTAGGATTTCATTGCCTCCTGGTCACCCCACTGCTCACCTGCATCCTTCCTGGGTCCATTGAATACAACCGACCTCGTCATTATCCATTATTGTGTGTCCTCTGGGATGCAGGTCTCTAAGCAAGGGCTACAGCCATCAGCTCAATTCAGCTTCACAGAAACACAGCCAGCACCCAGCACACGCCAGACTTCACGCTTTCAGGGCAAACACAGGCCTCCGTCATCCTGGAGTTCGTTAATCGGGGTCACAGGCTTTAGTCTGCTCAGGAACTTGGAGTGTGCTCTTCAGTGCACAGTTGTTTCCTGCCTTCTGATGCTTGATTGAGTTCCAGATGGTTAAAGGTGCCAGAAAAAAAAAAACAAAAACAAAGGGACAATAAGGGGGTGTTGCTGGGAGTGCCTTGGGGAGCAACGTGGGAGGCAAGTGGGATGGGGACAAAGGACACTGTAGCCTTCCTTAGGCACTTAGCTCTGGCCCTCCAACGCCTGGACTGACGGGAATTCCACATTCACCATGTACTTACGCTGGGACCTGCCTTCCCCGTGCCTCAGTTTGTCTGTCTGTAAAGTAGACCTAGTCCGGCCTCCTCAGACTCAGGGAACTCGGGGAGCAAAAGAATTTTGTAGACAGGGAGTGGTGCACACAGCAAGCAATAAATGAAAGCAATGATCCCTTGGGGGCTCCCTGGGAAGTGTGTTTGGGGGGTGCAACCCAGAAGGGGAAGCCAGGGGCCGCTCCCCCTCAGCAGGCCTGGCAATTATGTCTCAGGGTCACGAGGCTCTGGAGCCCCTTGGAGGGGATCAGGGCCCAGCCCTCTGTAGATCCCTCACCACTAATCTCCCTGCAGGTGGGCGGGCTTCTAAATCCTCCTTAATTCTCGTTTCCTGCCTTCTCAGGGCAGGGAGGCCCCGGGCAGGGCTTAGCTCCAGCAAAGAGGGGCTGGGAAAGCAGCTGCACTCTTATCAGCCCTCCTGTCTCAGAGGAGGGTGGCATGGTGGGGGCCCAAGACCCCTCTGGGAGGGCAGATGGCCCTCCCTCCCCCTACCTGCAGTAGGGTGGGACACCAGCATGTCTTCTTGCTAACCCCACAGCCTCATCAGGATCTGCTGGGGGTCAGGGGCTGGAGGGCAGTGAGCATCCGGCTTTGCTGTTCTACTTCTGTCCTCAAAGAAGCCAGAGCTGCTGCCCAAGGAAGCTGCCCAGCACCACTCCAGCCACCCTGGCTTCCTGGGGGCCTCAGGTGATGTCTGCTGCTCAGAGGTTCCCGGGTGCTTGGGAGGCTTCAGTTCCCACCTTTGAAGGAGCTCAGGGGCTCTGCCCGAGCCAGGCAATAAGGATCTGGTGGAACATACAGGAGAGAAGGGGGAAACAGAGGCAGCATCAAAAACACAGCCTGATGAAATGTGTGTGTCTCTCTTTTCCACCTACCTCCTGGAGATCCAGTCCAAGGGGGTTCTACTGCTAAGCTACATCCCCAGCCCTTTTATTCAATTTTGAAACATGTTATCTCTAAGTTGCCCAGACTGTTCTTGAACTTGTGATCCTCCTGCCTACTGAGTAGCTGAGCCCAAGCAATCTGGGTTCCAGTGCTGCCTCTAGCACCCACCATTAGGAAACCGTGAGCTAGTGTGTTTGCCTCTCGGGACCACTTCCACCCCAGTCAAAACCTGAATAAATTAAAGAACCTGCTTCCCAGGAAATCCTGCAGGCTGCTAACAGAGAGAGAAGGAGAAAGGGAGTCAGCTGACGGATCCATGGGCAGGAGTGGGGTGTGGCTACCTACTGGCTGTGCCAGCCTGGTCCCCGGGGAAGCTTGAGTGCGGGGCCGGTGGGAGTCTCTGGGCCAGGGGTGAGAGGTCTGGGAGGGTCCTCCTGCTCGTGTCTCCCAGAAATGCACAATGGAGTCTGTGGTGGTGTGTAAGTTCGAGGTCAGATGGGAGTGTGCCTTTTCCTGAGCCTCAGTGCTCAGACATCCCTGGTGCACACCTGGTATACAACTGGCACAACACACCTGGCCAACACCTTTAAGACTTCTGAGCCAGTGTGGTGGTGCACATCTTCAGTTCCAACACTGTAGGAGGCCAAGGTATCAGGATCCCAAGTTTAAGCCCAACCTAAGCAATTTAGCAGGACCCTGTCTCAAAAAATAGCAAAAAAGAGCTGGGACTATAGCTCAGTATAAAGGCCCTGGGTTTTATCCTCAGTATTGCAAAAATTTGCAACCACAGGTCCATCTCAGTCCTGCGTTTTTTTTGTTTTTTTTTTTTGTACTGGGGATTGAACTCAGGACCTTGCACTTGTGAGGCAGACACCGGAACCACTGAGCCAAATCCCCAGCTCTATCTCAGTCCTGCTTAACCAGTGTCAGAGAAGCATTAGGAAGCTGAGACCATTCTGGTGAAACACAACACTGGAAATGGGAAAGAGTACTCATTCTGTGCTTAGCACAGGCCTAAGCATATCCCACCAAGGCACTCACTGAATTTTCACATCACCTGGCTGGCTGGGAGCCTTTGGAGCTGTTAGTCCAGCACTTCCAGCTCTGCCAGAAGAATCCCACTTCCAGCGAGGTCACATGACCAGTTTTGACCAAGGAGCTTCAAGAGGAGCTGACAGACCTTTCCCAGGCCAGAGTATGGACTTCCCTTACCGAGGCCCTCCAGAGGTCCTGCTTCCTTCTGGCATGATGGCCAACAGGGATCTAGAATGTTCCAGAATGTTCCAGAATGTGGCTGTTTTCCCCTCCCTGGCCCCAAATGAACACAAAGCATAACTGAGAAATACACTGTGTGGTCTGAAGTCACTGAACTGTTGGACCTGTTTGTTTCTGCAGCACAACCCAGCTTATCCTGACCTTGGCGAATCATATCATCCTTTTACAAGTGAGGAAACTGAGACACAACAGGCGAAGTCACTTGTCCTTGGGCCACCCCACTATAATGGTTGAGTCAAGGTGAAACTCTAGGCTCCCTGACACCAGGGCAGTGGCTTTTGTTTGTAAACTGTCATCCTGGGGGTTCTAGAACCTGGGAAATGCCCCGTAGGTAAAATGCATGGCATTGGGGTGAGGTTGGCCTCTGTTATCCTGTTGCCACCAATTATTTGGGGTTTTGTTGTTGTTGTTGTTTCTTTTCTTTTCTCTGTTTTTTAAAATTTTTAATTTATCAACTGATTGATTGGGGATTGAACCTAGGGTCTTCACACTGAGCTACATTCCCAGTCCTATTTTTTATTTTGAGACTGTCTTGCTCAATTGCCCAGGCTGGACTTGAACTTGCAATCCTTCTGCCTGAGCCTCCCAGAGTGCTGGGATTACAGGCATGCACCACCACACCCAGCTTCTCTCTCTCTCTCTCTCTCTCTCTCGCTCTCTCTCTCTCTCTCAGAGTTGGGGATGAAACCCAGGGCTTCACAAATGCTGGACAACTGTTTTCTACCAATGAGCTACATCCCCAGACCTATTTCTTTCTTCCTAATCACTGGTTTCTCGAATGACAAGCCACCATCACCTGTCTTAGGGGGATCTGGGGGGTTGGACAAGGGGACTTGGCTAAGGGGACCTGGAGTTTTCCCCCTCCCCAAAACCTCCCATCTACAAAATTGAGCTCAATCAGCTCAGCCTGGCCCCTGCCTCTGTCCCACAGATGCCAGTGGACCTCCACCCCGTCCTCCCGCCCTTCCTTCATCCTAATCACATGATCCCTGACACTTTCTCCCTTACTGCCTGCCATAGCTGTGGATCAATCATTTGCTACAAGGTGGAAAGATCCTGAAGCCAGAGCAGACCCAATGGGCTTCAGGGACTGGAAGTGAATCCTGGGCTGAGTTTGCAGAAATGTCTTTTCACATCTGCATTTCCCAGCTGCTTTCTGTTATCTTCCAGGGTCTCTGAGGTTGCTCTGCAGTTCCCAGAGAGCCAGGGCCACAGCCCCTCTACACTGGAAGACTCCAGGGAGAACCAGCTGGCAGGGCTCGTGATACCTCTGTGCCAACCTCAGCATTTCCTGCCCTGACCAGTTAACTCGACACTTACTCTACATTAAATACCAATCGGACCAATTTTCTGCTGTAATTAAACCTCTGCAGATACATTACCCGGTCAGCAATGATGAGTTTATTAACCTCATTTCCTTCCTGTGGGGGGCAGGGAGGAAAGAAGGACAAAAAAAAAAAAAAAAAAGGAGTTTGCCATGAGTTTGGGCGAAGAAGTAAAGGGAGAGACTGGGTTTGGAGCTAGTGCAGTTTCTTCCTGTACTCTGGGCAGGAGGCAGGGAGACAGATGTGTTTACCAAAGTGTTTGCAGCAGTGTCCATATGTGTGTGTTTGCTTTGGTGGAGACTTGGAAAAGTCTACTCCCACTGCGACCTCTTTCCAAACCAAGACTTATCTCATAATGGAGTTTTTTGGGGTTTTTTTTAGTGTTACATCGCAGATTTCTGGCACACTTGACTCTGGAAATAGAGTCTCTTCCAGCTCAGCAAGCTATACTTCCTATTGGTATCTTTTGTTATGCAGCATAACCTTGGCTGTCCTACTATTACACATTAAATTCCCATCTTATTATGATGAGACTGAGGCCTATTTGCTTACTAATCCAAAGTCAGCTAAGGTAGTTCTTGTTCTTCTACTTCCCCTTCTTCTTCTTCTTCTTCTTCTTCTTCTTCTTCTTCTTCTTCTTCTTCTTCTTCTTCTTCTTCTTCTTCTTCTTCTTCTCCTC